ATGATTGAAATTCCATTATTTCACATTTACACATACAAATTGTTCGGCTTTTTATTAGAATTTTTGTACTGTCTTAAGATGAGAGTACTGTACTTGGTGTTGGAATGCAACCTCGCTTTCATTATATAATAAAATAAGGACCGTCTTCTAGATGGAAGGTTAAGATAAAACCTAACCAGGGGAAAAATATTGTTTGGAGTTACTGTTCCCTTCGTGCTTTAAGGGGTAAAAAGACAATTGAACGTTGACATGGAATGAGCGAGTTACAATTCGTACCCCATTATTTTCACCTTCCGTTGTTTACATTTCTTCAGGTTAACACGTGGGGTCAGTCATTCTGCCACTGATTGGTCATCAGACTTGGCCTCAGAGATGTTAAAGGGGGAAACGTGGGTAATGTGGGAGTCAGTGAGGCGGGGCAGTGCTGTGTGTCTACGTGCCTGAGTGTTTGTAAAGCTCCCATTGCGTGCCTTCCGTATGCTTACAGGACTCTCACACTTTCACAGCACTTTAGTACAAATTCCTTGTGTGTGTAAGCATACATGGCCAATAAAGCTGATTCTATTTAACGCAAAAACCACCACACACTGGAACACCGATATGATGCTGTTGCAGATTCAATTAAATCCAAAGGTGTAATGACTGCCTTTCTTTGTAACTGTGCTGTTTAGGAATTGTGATGTGTAAAGGGCTGCTGTTAAGATAATCCGAATTAGCCATCAACAGTTTCTCTTTCTCTTTCTAAGAGCTAATGTGGATGTTCATATAACTTTAACTGAATTAGTTTGACACTAAAGTATTAAAAAAACTGGATATTCTCATGCAAGTTCTTGAGTCAGATGTTGCATTTCTAATGCACTTGAATGACTGATTTCTTGACGTGTTTTGCAATGGACTGAGAAAATGGTATCCTTGAAAAGTGTAGATCCCCATAGACATAGCATCTGATTGTTTTCTCAAAGTACAATACGAGCTGCATTAAAAAAAAAAAAGATAACAGAAACACAATATTTTGTGTCAAGGCCTGAGAACATGTGGCTCCACATAGACACAGCTTGTTTCCACCTGATAACACAGTCTGATGTCTGTTCTGAGGCCTAAAGGCTCCACCACCGTCAGGCCATGTGGGAACTGTTGTAATTCAGGGAGTGGAGCATGAACACATGGTGAGCCATTAGCGGTCTGCTCTGCCAGGCCTGCCGGGTACTTAATGTGTTCTGGAAATCATCACGCCCAATGAAACTACTTCCTCCTCCTTTGTTCTGCAGGAAGAGCTCAGAGCAGAAAGCTGTTCTGCTACTGTACTGTTCAGCTCTGGTGTTTCCATCTGCAGACCTTTTACCAGACTGCTCACCCCACACACACACACACACACACACACACACACACACACACACACACACACACACACTCACACAACTCTTGTGTCCTGGAAAATTATATAACGCTATGAATGATGTGTTATTGTTTTTTTTATTTAAATGCAGTATTTAACTTCCCTGGGCAGGCAAGTGGAGTGTGCAATCAGCTTAGACTTTCAATCGATAGTCCATTCTGGAGGGCCAGTTATAATGTGAGCCCTGACAGGTCTACACATATCCTGTAAAAGGCAAAGTATTACCTTGCTTCATTTGCAAACGTTTGACCAATCTTTTGTTTCGGCATTCGTCATGTATTGCTAATCATTAAACTTCCAATGTAACAACTCTACACATGTTACAGTAGCTGCAAGATAGCTAACACCAAGCTAACTGTGATGTCTGTGTATTTCTGTGACGACTCAGTCTCTGACCTGTCTTTTATTTTCTGAATTTGAAAATCAGAATAATTCAAGGAAACGATGCACAAATAAAATATGGAGTGCTGCATTTGAAGATTGCTTTGTCAGTTTATGCGTCAAAAAAATGTCCACTATTACTTTTTTGGTTTGTTTGGTTCGCATGAATTTAAGAAAATGGTCAAAAACATGTCAATCGCTGCTCCCGCAACTCAAATCTTCTTTGTTAATTGTCATAGAGGAGTTATGTATCAGAAAAATATGATCAAGAAACAAGCTGGAATCAGAATATGTCCTTTCAGAGTAAAATAAATAATCCCAAACAATCAATCAAAACAGTTGGGGTTTTAATATCAATAAACTCAATCATGAAAATAGCCACTGCAGCCATTGTGATTTAAGTTGGCTATAAGTTTACATCTTTAAAGAGAAAATAAGGTTTAAAATCGTCTAATGGATGCTGATTTAAGGATCTATTAAGTCATTTAGGATTCCACATAAACTGTAGGCAGGCTACAGGGGTTTTTAGTTTGCTACTCGTGCAGGCAACACATTCACTCATTTCTTTTATTGTAAGGCACTTAAGATAAAGGCATCAACCGCACAACTTGCACCTTGTTCTCTAAGTGCACCGTGCCAACCTCTCGTCCTCTTTGGGACTTCTTGAGATCAGGCTTCTTGCTTCTTGTTGTGTCAGTGGAGAAGAAAATTACAGACAGCTGAAAGCTTTTCTCTAAATGTGTGTTTATGTGTGTGTCATTGTAAGAGAGGGCTGATAACAGTTTGTAGCAGTAGAAGAGAGGAGATGAATCACAGAGATTCTGAGAGGTTATCGCACTGCTGTTGAGTCCACTTTAAATGTTGATACAGTAAAATGTGTCCTTCTTGAACTTCCCTCATAGTTAAGTGTGATTAATGACTGACTTTGAGATCTGGGCTAACACTCACCTAAACGTGTATTTAAGCAGCAGAGTAGATATTTAAACTGTGACCTTGGTTTTATTGGTGTGTGGCTGTAGCCGAGGGCTAACCTGCCAGCACGGCCGAAATGTTTGCAGCGTTTGGCAGGTGGAGGGAAACTGGTGTAGATTTACAGTAACCCTAATTGATTTCTCCTCCAGAGAAAGTACACACTGATAAGACATGTGCTATCAGGCACTAAAGTTAAGTAAATACTTTACACTCCCATGTCAGCCTGATGAGGAACTATTACGGTTTGATTACACTCGCTCCTAGTGTGAAAACACACATAATGAAACACTGCAGACAGCCTGTTAAACACACACTTCTCAACATAGTTATAACTACACAAAAATCCAGTTTCCCCTGGCAGATATGTTTCACAAATCTTTAACTTGGTGTCTGTAGTTTTTCTGTTTATATAGTATTGTTTATATAGAATTGTTTATTTAGTATCGTGGTTGGGGCTTTAGCAATGTGAATGCAGGCCACCCGGGGACTTGGGAGGGGGAGACAATTGTGCTTTTTGCACAGTACAGGGTGACTGGGCAAGTGAGTGCGCCCTTAATTGCAAATACAATGGAAATGTTTCTTTACTGAGTTAAAAAATACAAGTAATTACCCAATACTGAGTGCCTTATTTGTCACTGTGGTATCAAAACAAGTGTTGAAAATGAACACTATTCCAGGTCACAGCCTCAGATGAAAACTATTGCAAGCAAACATAACATATTCATCCACATAGTCCAACGGTATATTAAACAAAAGTACATGGTGTCAAAAAGCGTGTTTTTGACACAATATCAAAAAGTGGTCATGTTTGTATTTAACACACTGTGCGTGCCCTGTGATTGTGCTGGCGAACCGCACGAAGCTACCGGTGAAACGCTTTGTTCGCTCACAGTAAAGTTAAAGTTAAGTCATTTTCATTGTGCCACGGATTATTGATTTATTTTCATGGTATGTTCCTGAAACCGTGCACACACAGACTGTGCACGGGGTACCCTGTTTGTCATAAAGATTAAGTATTGATTGTTTTTTTTTAACATTTTAAAAAATGAATGCATGAATTTCAGACCATAATTAAATTGATTAACTACTTAATGCTGACTGCCGAACTTTTAACATTTGATAAATATTGAAAATAAAAAAATTAGGTTTTGGATTTTTAGGACCTGATTAACGTTTTCACTGTTGATTAGTATATGTATAAAATATAAAGTTAACACTCTGAGAAAATATTACATAGTTTTTTAGCTTTGAGTCATCACCAGAAATAGTTCTGATCAGTTCAACTGGAGTTCTTTTCTGGCTTTAAGGTCTAAGAGGTTAAATCCACACGTACAGAAAATGTTCGTGCAGGAAGTCAACTGTCAGTTTGCTGCTCGGTTCAATAAACAAACGACCACGACGACCTTTGTGTTTGAGTCTACAGTTCACTGCCATGCTGAGATTTGCTGATTTCCTGTATCCTGTTAACACTTCCTTTATCCATCAGCAAGAAAATGCTGCAATACATATTTTATTTCCAAAACAGACGTCCTTATCTGATAAATGTGGTTCATTATTCAAATGCAATATCCAGGAAAATTTGTCACAGTTTGATTTAAGATGTTATAACTGTACTTGAACTTGACTAAATGAACTTAAACTACAAAATCAGCCAGTACTGTTTTAGACTACAAGCCTACTGTGCACACAGCTGGATATTAGTCCTGTTTACCTTTAAGGTAAAAGGTCAGAGATATTTTCTGTGGGAAAAACAATGCGGAAATAATGAAAATGAACGTAAAAACTGATGATACTTAAAGGTCAAATTTAAGCTTCAAGTGAAGATTAAAGAATAAATCCTTCCCTGACGATACTAATGAAACTAATTAACAGAAGGTTTTAAAGCAGTTCATCAAATCCATCTGGACTTGAAATCCCCCCTTACAAGGACCTTAAAAGGGACCCTGAAATGATCAAGAAGTACATTAGCTTTAGGGTCATAAGGTTTAAACTCAGAATTATATTCATTGATTTTCATTGCTATTTATTTTCTCTGGATGAATACATTACCGGTTTGGTCTTAAAATGTCCATCAATCAATTTCTATCCCAATTTTTGTTTTGTTGCTTGTTTAAATCCAAAGTGTTTAATGTCATTTTAATGTTATAAAATGTTCCGAAAACAATAGAACACTCTTCCCTGAAACATGACGGTGATCTCTTTGTGATTCAGTAACATCACTCTTCTGTTTCTTTGTTTGTTTTTCCTCCAGGACGTCATAGTCGGCATCCTGTACAGCGTCCTGATCCTGCTCTCATTCCTGCCGGCGCTGGACATGATCGACGGCTTTAACCTGACCTACCGCTACGCCCCGCTCATCATCATCGCCCTCCACCTGGGCCTGGGCCTCTTCTCCTTCACCCTGGACACCTGGAGCACCTCTCGAGGAGACACTGCTCAGATCCTGGGTACAGGCGCCGGCGTGGCTCTGGCCGGTCACGTCAACCACCTCCTGGGTCTAATGCCTGACCCAACGCCAGACCAGCTTCCCTTCACCATGCCCGCCCTCAGCGCCAGCCTGGTGGGTGCAGCCTTGCTGCGAATCTTCTTGGGTGTGCTGGTTCTGATTGCCACTCGGGCGCTTATGAAGGCCATCACAATCCCACTGGTGTGCCGGTTGTTCAGGGTGCCCTGCGAGGACGTAAGGAAGGCCAGGCAGCACATGGAGGTGGAGCTGCCCTACCGCTACATCGTCTACGGGGCGGTTGGCTTCAATGTGCTCTTCCTCGTCCCGCTGCTGTTCAGCTACATGCAGCTTTCCTGATTGGATGTCAGTTCATTTCTAGCTGTTTTTAGATCAGATAGCCCATCCAGAACCCCATTCCTTTGCTCCTTAAGTTGGAGCTGAAGTGAAGTAAAGCCTAAACTTTTATCTGAATGCTGGCATGTTCTGAGTTTTTCCAATTTCCCCCCGTTGTTGGTCCATGTTGGGAACAATGAACCAGGTGAAGCACCTGTGACGAGTGACATCTCTGTGTTGTGCCCTTTAATTAATTCTAATTAATAATTAAGCGGCTCCTCGTGATCCCAGGACACACTGTGACGGAGCCTTACATCCACTCCTTCTCTGCCAGCTTCACGTTAATGAGCAAAACATTCTTAAACAGATGCCTCTGAAAGACTGAGAAAGCCACTGACAGATCTTTTTTCTGCGCATTCACATTTTTATTCATGTTGTTATTAAGAGTTCAGACAAAGAACCACGCAAGTTTCTTTTGGGAAGACTGGAATGTTTATAGCATTTAAAGTGCTTCGTATTAGATAAGAGCTTTAACAGCTCAACAGTTGAACTACAATTCATTTCATCTTCCATTTATCTGGTGACTAATAGTTTCGGTAACATCATTTAGGACAACATTCAATTATGTCATGTTTAGTCCAACCAACAGTCCAAAAACAAAAGATTTGTGGTGACAGTTGCATCAAATTGATTGTCGGATAGTTGAAGACAACTCTTTTTTTTGATGACTTGATTGATCCGCTTGTTGTTTTAGCTCAAGTTCAGTGTTCAACTTTGTGTGGCTCTTTGTGTGGAAGCCTCTTAATATCAATATTTGACTTCCTCCTCTCACCGCTTAAAGCAATAAGATTTATGATTAGATACTTCCTTATTCCTGTTAAAGAGGTCATGGGAAATGTGAGTTTTCTTTTATTTTGGACTCCTGGTGGAGGAGAAACCCCTTTTGATTTTAGCCCCTGAACTTTGATGGAAATAAACCAACACGAGTCAGGAATAAGAGTCAGATGATTTTCCAATCGTTGTTAACCCGTGCACAGTATTTTCTAAAAGGGCTTTCACCACTCAGTGTGCTCTGTTTACTTCTTCTGTTTTTATCCAGACTAATTATTGTCTGTTCACTGCTCGGAGATTGATTGGTATTCCTGCGAGGAAGCAATGACCTGGCACATACTGCGTAGGATTGAGAAGGAAGGAAGGAAGGAAGAATCACTTTGTTTGGGAAATGCACAGAAAGTTTTTTTAAGTGTGAAAGATTGCCAGGGTGACAGAGGTCTGTCTACTTGGCTCAGCATTTTTTTTTTTTTCGAAACACTGTAAACTGGCTTCCTGTTTGACGATCTGAAAGGCACGCTTCCACGTCCTGTGCAGGGGACAGTCTCGTGTCAGCAGGGAGGAGGCAGAGATAACGCTGCTCTCAGGAGGGAAGACGTGTTGAGCGATGGGGGGGAGGTCAGGGCGAGGAAGGGAGAATGATGATACAACTCTGGCGAAAATATGACATTTTGTAGCGTTTGAGTTTTTTTGGCCTTGGAATTCAGAATGATGAGGACATTTTTGATAAAGCAGTTAAATGTTTTGAGAAAAAGGCTTTGACTGTGACACTTGAAATGAAAAACTACTACTCAAAGCAGGTTCAAATTTGAAGAAAATGTAATTGAATTTTTGTAGCACAAAGCAAAGTACGGTCAGCCTTTAGGTTTCACGTCATCATCTTCCAACACAGACATAAATATTTTTTTCTTCAAACACTACATCTTAAAATATCCGGACTTCATTTAAAATTCATTCTGAAACATTTCAAATTTTTTCTCTTAAACTTTTATTAAATGTATCTTGACTTTTTCCCCTTAACATTGCCAGAACACATTCATCACAAAAAAAGGCTTATATTGAAGCTCACTTTTTTTTCCACTCCAGATATTCTTGTCAGAGATCATTAAAGATGGAGCAATGTTTTGATTCATCAATAACTTTTCCTGATCGCAGCAGTGACGAAAAAGAGAAGCATTGTCTTGCAAAATGTAAAAGGTTTCTGAAGTTGAAATCTTGAATTGGAAGCTGATTTTTCTTTGCCACAGCATCAGAGCAATTGGATTTGATAAACTTTACAAACTTATGTATTGTTTGGCAATACAACACATGCTCAGTTAGTGTTTTCATGTCAGGGAAGTACAGCTGATGAAAATTAGAATATCTGAACAGTCAAAAATTAGGATTATAATTTAACTGCCAATATAAACCAACATGATCTGATGGGCAAGACAAGACTCACTTCTGCTTTAAAGAAAACCAAACTGTATATTTCAGTGTTCAAAGTCTTCTTTTTTAACGCTACTTTAGCTCAGCATTGATTCAATATTCTTGTTCTGAAAACAGCATTGAAGAAAGAAAAACAGACTCCCATATGGACTCCATCTTTCTCTCTCCCCGTCGTCCTCTTGCACTACATCTGAGTCACAGTAATGAATGAATCCGTAAGACCACTGACCATCTGATCCTTCGGTGTAGATTTACCGATTTATTTTTCCTCTGTGCTTTATTTTTTAATAAAGGTGGACTCAGTTTCTTCTCGGGTTGTCTTCAAGTTTATAACATCAACTGTAAAACATTTCAGCTGTTTGGGAGGAAAGCAAAAACATTTCTGCACATTTTCTGGAATGAACATGTTTTTTATCTATGAGCTGCTTTGTTCAGGACGTTCTGTTCAGGTTCAACAACTGTATGACCAAGTGTGATTTTTTTTTTTTTTTTTTTTTTTGGGGGGGGGCTCCAAGACTCATCTGAGAGCAGACATGTGTCTCAAACATTTCAGTGTACAGTTTTCTTACTGAACCACTCACTTTGAGGCAATACTGACAGAACATCTGGATGGAAACAAATGTTCCATCACACATTCCTGCAGCAGTTGTGGGTGAAGTGCCTTGCTCAAGGGCAGTTTGTTTCACCAGTTGGCGGTGCGTTCAGGTGCTGCCGCCTTCTGAGCTTTCTCCTCTGAACTGAAGACCAACACAGTCAAAAAGGAACATTTCATGCTTTTTGATTTGCCTCAGTGTGGGCTCAGCAGGATGAGCTGGAAGTGTAACAAGCTGACTTCTATGATGATGATGATGATGTTGTTGTATACGGTACTGTCCTTATAAGAATGCACTGTTCCCAGAATGCACTGTGTTCCCCCTGAGCTGGGCAGAGAGGGTGAAGTTGGGAACATAAAGTTACTTTTACTTTAGTAAAAGGACCTTATACTTCTTCCACCACTGACATTAATGACAGTTGACGTTCTGTTGATTTATTCATTGGTTATAATCCTTTTGATAAACTGATGATACAGTTTTGGCACTATTGTAGAATAAAAAAAAATCAAAATATTAAGGAGCAATATGTCAGATATCTACTGAATTGAATCATAAAACGACCTTACTAAATCATCAGACGTTAATAAAACATGATATGTTTAAGTGCCCGGCTTCTCTGACAACACAGCAGCAGCCAGTATGTCCTCCTTCTGAGTTTCCATTCCAGTCCGGTTTCTAAAAAGCTCTATGACCAGAAACCTGGTAAACGTAGATAGTTTAGAACGCAGAAGGGTTTCAAGAACGATGCAGAGCTTCCGTGTCCGCGACATGGCGAGCTGCGTGCACATCGACTCTAGGGAGGAGGGGGCGGGGGGAGACAGTTCTCTCTAGTGTTTTGAATTTGTACTGCAGTACCCATTTTAAACGCTAGGTGTCAGAGTTACGTATTGCTCCTTTAACTATCATTTATTTTGCGAAACAGTTTTCCAAACATGGTTTTCCTCTTTTATTGATCACATCAGTACACTAACCGAGTTGTAAACCCAGAAATCATCAGAAATGAGACCTTCAGCGACAAGATGATTTTTTCTATATCGTGATTACGTCACATATTTATAATGAGTGACACATTTCAAATAGGATGAGATATTTAGAAAACTACATACACATGTCCAGGATAAAAACCAAAAGTTCCTCACATGAGCGTTAAGGCTTTAGATGTGATTTTTTGATCCAGTAGATGTCGCCCTTGAGCACCAGCATGAAACCAAAACAGCTTGCGCTGCATTGTTGTGTTAGCATGCTAATGCTAACGATCTTTATTATGCTTGTATCTTCACACTGCATGTAAATTTACCCGAAATGAGTGTGATCTAGAAACGCAGTTAAGCAGTATGTTATTCTTTTCTCTAGTCCCTCAATTAAACAACTTTTACACGCGAGGGGAGGAGTCGGCCGGCCGTCCCTGCGATATAAACAAACTGAAGATAGGACTCGGAAAACTCTGAAAGCATCACAGACAGTGGGACTCGGGTGTTACACCCATTGTAGACAGTCATGACTCACAGAGTTATTTTCAGAGGATATACTTGATTTCTATCACATTTAAGTGTGAAAAATATAAAGCCTTTAAACTAGATTCTAAAATGGATTTCTGCATAACCTGCCAACATTTGACAAAACTCAAGAGACAGATTGATCTGCTTTGCCGGTGTGTTTGTCAGCCAGTGGTTGGTCTCTTTCAAGGACGATGATATTTCCCCCTCCTCCAGCTTGTTTCACTTCCTATGTGTCTATATTTCAGTTTTTTATTGCGATTTATTTTTCTTTGTCTTAATGTGGTTTCCTTTCTTTGCCAATGAAACGGGAAGTGTGGCCCTCTTTTGGTTGTGTTATTGGCTCAGCATTAAGAAAAACCAACACTTTTTAAACCTGTGGTGAAGTCATGTGTGGGCAAAACGTCTCAAATGTTCCAATAGATTTCAATAAGAGCGAAATTCTTTCCCACCAGTTTCTATATACGTTAAAACATGTCTGCAAAGCACGGAGAGAATCATTCATAAAGTTCATTGTTTAAAATAAGAATGTGTAGATTCACTGTTAAACCTGTTTTACATTGCCATGAGTCTTTTTTTTGATTGCAGAGAACATTTGTAGAGAACATTTTTTTTTCCTGCATACCTTTGTGATACATGATAAGAGCATCGGTAATAAACAGGAAAAAGTGTAAGTGTTTAAACATGTGTTGGCTGTGGATTTACATCACAGCAGGAAGACGTTTCCCTCTGCAGATGGAGGAGCGATCAGAGTAACAAGATTGATAAATTAGATAAAAACCAAACTTCCTGAGTCTGATTACAACCTATCTATGTGTGTGTCTGTGTGTGAGATTTACACTGAACTAAACAGTGCTTCATAAAAAAATGAAATATTTTATTTGATACATGGAAAACTTGAATTGGCTGAACAGGAGTTGGCCAGAAGACCATAGATGTTTTATGAAATTTTTTCAGATTATTCAGATAATAGACTCGAAGCAGAACGGTTAAAAGTAATTACAGAGATTGTTTTAGCATCAATTTATCCTCTTATATGGTTTTGCAGGAACATTATTTGGAGAAGTGCTTCCGAAATTTGTTGTGGAATCCAATTTCTTTTAAGTTATTTATTATAATATTTCAATTGGGAGAATCAGTCTTATTTTACGTGTTGCTAATTACTGTTTATTGAAGTTGAACAATTTATCTGGGGAAAATGATGGTAAAAACCCTTCATTGTATTTGTCCTCACCTGAGCCTTACTTCATTTGGTAGGAGCTAAATTTTTCTATTTACTTTTTACCATCCAAAAAGTTGCAATGCTTTTATTCCCATTATTCATAAAGTAGAAACTCCACAACGTTTTGGCATCTGAAGTTCTTAAACTGCCCCCTCAAACCGTGTTGTACTATCGTCCGAATATATTCACAAGACCAAGTTATTGTTGATTGTTTCTAAGAAAACACCAGACATGGGTAAGAACGCCCAAAATTAAGTTTTTATCCAGATTTTATCAGAAAAAAACCCAAACACTGATGTAGCACCTTTTCTTGACACCAAATGTCTTCTTAACTCACTAAAATATCAGGGAATGTATACGTAAATATGTTAATTATCATTTCTATAAACTTAAGATAGAAACACTTTAAGCTCCTTTGAGGCCCCTGGAGGCTGAGGGCTCTGCCAGCTTTGTTTTAATATATGAACCTGTTCTGATTTTTTTCTGTCTTGAAAAAAAGTGAATCTCAGAGACTTTTATGAAAAATGATTTCCTTATTTGACCAAATGTAAAGTAGTTCAACTGTTTAGCTTGTAGCTCAGTTAGCTGAAGTTTGCTCCACGTGTGCCTTTATTGCCTTTATCGTTCTTCAGGAAGAGGATTTTATGTTCCATGTGTAAACTGTGGTCCTGATTTTGTTTTTTTAATTCTCTTTTTTCTGTCCTGTTGTGTTGCCTTTTGCACTTTGTAGTTGCATTCATGTGGAGGAGAAATGTTTCCTGCTTGATTATTATTCATTTATAAGAAATAAGCTTTTAGCGAACCACACTGCTGCTTGTTTATTACTGCCTTCACTCACATAGCAACAAACTGTAATTTATGTCGATTTAGTCTGAATTAAAAGAGTGTTTAATTTTCACGTTTTGTCACATTTGCGTTTTATGACTTTTTGCATGAGAATATGTGTTAATGAGTCACAGAGTAATGTCCTAATTCAAATGAAACATGCATTGGTTTATCTGTTTGGTTAAAGTTCTCAGTTCATTCATTGTTTCAAACAGTCGCTATCTCATGACATATTTTTAAGTTCAAGAAACCTCATTTTTACACAACTGGCAGTACTCTTTTCAACAATGGGTGTCATTTTGGAACCCCTTCATATTTCCACATAATTTATTGTGAACCACTTTGAATTGTTCAGTGGTGTCCTAATGTGACTGATGTGAACATCTGAGGACATTTTATGCAGTTTCACAGTATTTGATATACACAGATTGTTTTGTCTGATTTGATTCAAAATTAGGATGTATTTCTGTCTGATTGTGTGAAAATAACTGAAATAAAAAAATATGATAAATGAAAGTTTAACTCCATTTGTTGTTTATCTTTATCTGCAGCTGATGAGGTGAACATGAGATGTGTATGATATTTAGATTTAGATGCAAGAGGGAACTACGGTGCCCCTGAAGTTTGTTTCCTACAACCAAATAGTATAACATAATTAATCACATATGAGCCAAAAAATTGTTAAGCTATGCTTGATTCAATGAAGACCCTGTTTGATATGACAATAGCTTGGCAAGTGGTGTAATAAAATGTAAACTTTTTTTACCTGTATGACTTCAGGGGCTGTTAAGTTGTTTTAATCCATTTATTTATTACTCAAAAACACATGAAAACAGAAAGACCCAGATTTTTCAATTTATGCTTTTTAACATTTGTTTTAGTCTATTAGTACGATCCACAAAGTGAAACTGAGATCATGATATCCACTTTCCTTAAAGGCTTAATATTTTCACACTTAAATGTAATAGAAATCAAGTATATCCTCTGAAAATAAATCTGTGAGTCATGACTGTCTACAATGGATGTAACACCCGAGTCCCATGTGTCTGTAATGTTTTCCGAGCCGTAGCTTCACTTGTTTACATCGCCCGGACAGCCGGCTCATCACCTCGTTTATAAAAGTTGTTTAATTGAGGGACTAGAGAAAAGAAGAATAACATACTGTACTCATTGCTTCATTGAATGTCACGTAAGCATTTTAAAATCTCGGTCATTTCGGGTAAATTGAAATGCAGTGTGAAGATAAGAGCATAATAAAGATTGCTAGCATTAGCACGCTAACACAACAATGCAGCGCGAGTTGTTTTGGTTTCATGCTGGTGCTCAAGGGCGACATCTGCTGGATCAAAAAGTCACATATTAAGCCTTTAAAGGTGCGCTATGTAGTTTTGGTAGATGAATGTGGAAGTTGGAGAAATCTACAGATTCTGTGGTATATGTTTATAAGTCTATACACAAACTGTCCTCAGAGGGAAATTTGGTCCCTGTAACACTGTTTGAAGATAAAATGATACACGAGAAGTTATGGTGGGGGCCCGCAACAGTGAAACTCTCCTAGTAGCTATTTAGCTCCAAACAGTGTTCCAGGGACCCATTTTTTCCTTTGAGTAAAGTTTAAGAAAGTTAAGTTCAGAAAAATATAGCTTCAAATTGTTTCACTTTCAAATTTCATTACAAAAACTCAATAGTGCACTTTTAATATACTGTATTAGTGAAACAATTGACTATCAAAGTAACTCTCCTATAGATAATCATGAATTATAATAAATCCAAAGAAATTCATATTTTCTTTAATTGCTTCTCTAAAGAAACAGCTGACGCTAGGTGAGCAATAAAGGCACTGACATCCGCTGTTTTGTGTTTACAAAAGTAACAGAACATTATGTTGTGGCCTATGTTTTTGATGATGTTTTTCTTTGATGTTGAACTAAATTTTGTCTCCATTTTAACTGGCTGAGACTTGTAATTTAAAGTCCCACAACTTTCAAACTTTTTGAGTCACTAGCTGCTGTTAGCTTGCTAATAATGTAAGTGCTAAAGCAATATGCCGCGTCATGGTGACACACAAGACACTGGAAGCAGATTAGGGCTGTGGTTAAATACATACATCTTAGTAGTGTGTATATATACATTTATATCTAAATTTACATATAATTGTATACAGTTGCAGGAAAAAGTATGTGAACCCTTTTGAATTTCTTAGTTTTCTGATTAAATTGGTCATAAAATGTCTTCTGATCTTCATCTAAGTCTCAACAATAGACAAACACAGTCTGCTTAAACTAATACCACACAAACAATTATATGTTTTTATGTTTTTATTGAACACAACATGTAAACATTCACAGGGCAGGGTGGAAAAAGTATGTGAACCCCTAGGCTAATGACTTCTCCAAGAGCTAATTGGAGTCAGGAGTCAGCCAACCTGCAGTCCAATCAATGAGATGAGATTGGAGGTGTTGGTTGAAGCTGCCCTGCCCTATAAAAAACACACTTCAGTTTTGAGTTTGCTACTCTCAAGAAGCATTGCCTGATGTGAACTATGCCTCGCACAAAAGAGATCTCAGAAGACCTACGATTAAGAATTGTTGACTTGCATAAAGCTGGAAAGGGTTACAAAAGACTCTCTAAAAGCCTTGATGTTCATCAGTCCACAGTAAGACAAATTGTCTATAAATGGAGAAAGTTCAGCACTGTTGCTACTCTCCCTAGAAGTGGCCGTCCTGTAAAGATGACTGCAAGAGCACAGCGCAGAATGCTCAATGAGGTGAAGAAGAATCCTAGAGTGTCAGCTAAAGACTTACACAAATCTCTGGCACATGCTAACATCTCTGTTGACGAAGCTACGATACGTAAACACTAAACAAGAGTGGAGTTCATGGTGAGGACACCACGGAGAAAGCCACTGCTGTCTAAAAAAAACATTGCTGCACGCTTGATGTTTGCAGAAGAAGACCTGGATGTTCCACAGCACTACTGGCAAAACATCCTGTGGACAGATGAAACCAAAGTTGAGCTCTTTGGAAGGAACACACAACACTATGTGTGGAGAAAAAAAAGGCACAGCACAGCAACATCAAAACCTCATCCCAACTGTGAAGTATGGTGGAGGGGGCATCATGGTTTGGGGCTGCTTTGCTGCATCAGGGACAGATTGCTATCATCGACGGAAAAATGAATTCCCAAGTTTATCAAGACATTTTGCAGGAAAACTTAAGGCCATCTGTCCACCAATTGAAGCTCAACAGAAGATGGGTGATGCAACAGGACAACGACCCAAAGCACAGAAGTGAATCAACAACAGAATGGCTTCAACAGAAGAAAATACGCCTTCTGGAGTGGCCCAGTCAGAGTCCTGACCTCAACCCGATAGAGATGCTGTGGCATGACCTCACGAGAGCGACTCACACCAGACATCCCAAGAATACTGCTGAACTTAAAAAAGTTCTGTAAAGAGGAATGGTCCAAAATTCCTCCTGACCATTGTGCAGGTCTGATCTGCAACTACAGGAAACGTTTGGTTGAGGTTATTGCTGCCAAAGGAGGGTCAACCAGTTATTAAATCCAAGGGTTCACATACTTTTTCCACCCTGCACTGTGAATGTTTACATGTTGTGTTCAACAAAAACATGAAAACATCTAATTGTTTGTGTGGTATTAGTTCAAGCAGACTGTGTTTGTCTATTGTTGAGACTTAGATGAAGATCAGAAGACATTTTATGACCAATTTAATCAGAAAACTAGAAAATTCCAAAAGGTTCACATACTTTTTCCTGCAACTGTATATGCATATACAATACGATGTCAATATGTACTTTCTCAACTTTCCATCACTGCATTTGCTTGGGAAAATTTGCCTGGGAAAATGGTATAGTCATGTTGCTAGATGCTATTCTAGCTATAGAGTTTCTTTTGATGCTTGATTGGTGAACTAACAGACCTCTAAACCATCTGTGACCAAACTCCAGCTGCATCAACTTAAACTTTTTTTTTTTTAAATCAGACGTCAAAGAATCTCTCTGGTAAAGCTCATGACGACTTGACATTTCAGGAGGTTAAATAAAACCTGGTTAACCTCCTCTAACATGTAACAGAAAATGTGACGGTTCTTGTGGCTCATCATTTTTGAATAATTTTGTGTGTTATTTGAATCTGACTTTGACTTTTTAGTGTTGGTGTTTCTGCCCCTGCAGAGCTCCTCTTCATGCACAGATGGTGATGTGGTGATGTGGTGTGTCACAGAATGAACAGTTTTCCACGCCGCTCTGCCAGAGCTGCCTGGCTGCAGCACAGGGAGGAGACACGCTTACAGCTGCCGGCCTCAACATAAAAGACATATCTCTTTGTTGTCTCTTCCTCCTCTTTTTCCTCTTCTGGCCATGTGGCGTGTCTACAGAAGTGAAGGCACACAGGACAGCAGTTCGACTTCTGTGAATGTTTAATGGCAATGAGTCACAAGCCCGAAATGAAAACACCTGCTGTCACTGAGGTCAAGACGGACTTTTAAAGGAGTGTGCTTTCATTTTTGCGTCAAATCTTCTCCAGCTCTTTGGGTCCCATCATGGTTTCCATAATGTTAGTTATTTGAAATGCAAAGTAAGATATTTGACCACTTCTTAAACAGGTGTTTTTGTCCTAAACTTTAAAGCTTCTTATAAATATAAAGCGTTTTAAAGGAAACAAACAGTTACAAATTTGACAATCAGCTTGTCAGTGAACAACAAAGGCAGAAGGATGAAGCCGAGTCTTTTAGTCGTTCTCCACACCAAAACTTCAACAAAAATAATTAATAAAAGCCCCCTCAAGAATATAGTAGGAAAGAGTATTGCAGATTTCAGTTTCTGCGTTTGAGGACTTTCCTCATGCTCCAGCTGGCGTGAAATACTGAGGATTTATTTAGTTTGTTTCTGTGGGACTGAACTGTGCCACCTCAGATTTGGGTCAACTGGAAAGCTTCAATCGTGACAGTTTTTAATCCTCATTTACACAGAACGCAGAAAGCCGCTGCTTCCCCCTGCTGGACAAGTGAGGACTCACACTGGAATTCAACCCTTCAGCAAATTAAGTATTTTAAAAACGACAGAGCCTGAAGAAAAACAAAACTAAAAGGAAATTTACCATATTAAAAAAAAAATGTTTAGATACTAAAGGCACATTGCAGTCCTCCTGTGTTTGCCTTTATAAAAAAAAAAAGTACAATACAAAATTAATTCATGTTCAAACTTTTCTCCTGGAAATGTTTACGGTTGGAATGGTTGGAAAATATGAATTATTGATTTAATTCGTTGTATTAATTAATGTATTTCCTTTATCTGAGTTGTTCTTTTCCAGTTCTTTTTCTAACAATAACGGAACCTCTTCTTGAGGAAGTGTTCCGACACGGCTGTAAATATTGTGACACAGAGCAGGCTACACTGTCCATGCGTGTTTTCTCTGGGAGCAAAACTGGCGTGAGAACGTCATCGTAGCTTATTTCAGAGTGTCTGGTTCACATTGAGATAGTTATCTGTATGGTCAGTTGTTTTTGCTGCGTTATGGGAATTTGTGGACGTTATGGGAAAGTAGGTAGGTTGAAGTAAATAACGCATAATAACACGTTTATATCAGTCAGCATGTGACTCCTACAAAAAGGATTTGAACGGTGAGTTTTCTGCTCGAATCTGACAGTCCATACCAAACAATAGTAGGCTAATCTTTTTTTTCTTCTTCTGGTCTAGTGTATGTTGAAATAGTTTCTAATCGTTCCTGAAACATTGATGTAATCTTCTAATGTGCACACCATGATGACCAAAAAGCAAGCATTAAAGGATGGAAGTTTGATAGTTGCTGTTAGGTTGTTCATCATTTCTTTATGGTTTTTTAAAGAGACATGTTATCAAAGAGTCTTTCCTAACGTGTCCTTTCATTTGTGATTTTTTTCCCTTTCCTGTTCAGTGTGGTTGAATCCCATCACACTGAGCTGTCATGGAGGGTTTGGAGGAGAAGCTGAAAGGCCTTTCCATCGCTCGGCGGTCTCGCCCAGAGGAGCCCACATACCTGCTGGACGTCGCCCTGCAGTCGACTGGCCTGCTCGCCGTCTCCTGCTCCGACCTCACCGTCCACATCCACGACAAGGACACTCTGAACCTCCTCAGGGAGTACCGGGGCCACGACAGGCCGCTTTGTGGGGTTGTTTTCTCTCATCGCTCCCCTGACTTCCTCTACTCCGGCTCTGCTGATGGGACAGTTAAGGGCTGGGACGTCCGGTGCGTGGCGACAGAGCCGGCCCAGATCTTTAAAAGTGACCCCTCGCACAGCTACTGCAGCTTCGACCTCAGCTGCAGTGACGCACTCGTGTGTGCCGGCACAGAGCAGGTGAACGATGAGGACAGCTTCCTGGTTTTCTGGGATGTCAGAAAACCAGGTGCCGGGCTTCTCGGGGTGTATTCTGAGTCACACAGCGATGACATCACACAGGTGCGATTCCATCCTAGAGACAAGGACCGGCTTGCGTCCTGCTCCACAGACGGCCTCGTAAATGTTTTCGACCTGAGCCGAGGGGCGGAAGAGGAGGCGCTGCTGGCAACCTGCAACAGCGACTCCTCTGCAGGGTCGGTTTGTTGGTCTGGCGCTGACTACACACAGCTGCTGTGCCTGAGCCATGACGAGGGGCTGCACCTTTGGGACCTCGGTCAGCTTGACACAGAGGAGCCTCTCACTATTTTCAGCTCTTCTGATGTTCGCAGCCTGACTCCGCTCGCTGACGGAGGAGGCGTCGATTACCTGGTGGGAGGGAGCTGGCTGGAAGACGCACAGAAGCTGCTGGTGGTCGGAGGAAAAACAGCGGGGATCTCCACCTGATGGAGTGTGACGACAGGGGGCTCCGTCTGCTCAGGAGCCTAAAGGGCGGCCATGCCTCCACTGTACGGTGCTTCTTATGGGACGCGGCGGAGGAGGCTCTGGTAACAGGAGGAGAGGACGCTCAGCTGTTGCTGTGGAAACCAGGAGGGGAGGACCTTACGTCAGCGAAAAGGGAGTCAAAGAAGAGCGAATCAGCTTTGAAACTAAAATCCAGGCCGCATAAAAAACACGGCTACCAGAGAGAGAGAAAGGAGGCAAGACAAGACAATGAATGAAGTGTTGAAATACTGACTTACTAACTCGACTGTGGAGGCTTCTCACTACTCTGCCAATAGAAAAATCAGTTTCAAAGTCAATATTTTGTCTAAATATTTCTGCATATGGTACACAAAGCACACATCTCCACAGGATTAACATCCCTTTAGGCCAGAAAAGACTCGGACACCACTCAGTCTGTCACAATGTGTTTACAACATCTGACTTTTTAATCTTTTTGCTTTTGTGGAAGCCTTAACCCTGACACGTTCCTGAATGCTAATTTGGATTGTTCCCATAGAACTAGAGATACACTGAGTTTTGAAATGTCCACACTATTATTCTAGTGTGTTTTATTACTAACCTAATTTAATAGAATGTACTTTACATTAATTAACTTCTTTGCAATTATTCATATCAACTCTGAGCTTGGATTTATTTAAATAGTTTGTTTTGAAGTTTGAAGTTTGAAGTTGAAATTATTGTGTCATACATACACAATACACATACATAGTTGTTTGCGGTCCCTCCTTCTGAAATGTCACTGGAACACAACTTACAAACTGCACATCGCCGATCTTTCTCAGAGACGGACTAACACTCCCACGCTGCTGACACTTTCGTTCTTGTTTGACCATCGAAACAAATCAGAGTTTGTTCAACAGGTGACTTGATGTGATGCAACAGATGCACTATGACTTCTGGCATTAGTACATGTCACATTAATTGCAGACGTGCCGATATCAACCAATACCAGTGTTCAACTGACTCATGGATGCCTTCCCACTTACTCAGTACATTATCAAGCTTTTAGACTCCAAACTGGAGCATTGATCTTAATAACTGTTTACAGTCAGTGATCACATCGAACAGATTGTATTGCTCGTATCAGAAACATGACTTTTTCCTTGAATGGGAAGGAAACACAACTGTTCCAGCCTGTTTCGACCTTCACACTCATGCCTGGTAATTATAAATGATCTTATCTGTAGTGTGTCCCGTAAATGATTGGATCTAAATGAATGCTTTAGGAGAAGAAGTCTTAAAAAAGCATTAGGGGCTGTTACCTAATGACAGGAGATAGTATAGGATACACTTTGGAAGCCCAGTTTCAGATGTGAAGTTGTCCAGATTCATTAAAGATATCCAGATACAGATTAAATGATAGTAGTTGGAAATTGGGTCTCATATACAGTATATTTATTACCTACCTACCTACCTACTAATGTTTGTTCTTGTTCTTGGACAGAACTGATGGATACTTAAAGACTCAAATGAATCTCTTAAATTAGTGGGATTTTACCGAGACAAAGAAACAAAAGCACCACTCTAGGATTCTTCAGGAAGATCTATAAAATCAAAGTCATGACATTAAAAAAACCCTTCATTTTCCTCATTGTACAGTTGTATTCTCATTGGCCACTGGAGGAGCAATTCAATAAATGACCATTTACCTCACACCGTGTGTACTTTCCTGTTACTCTACAGAATGTGCATTGAGTTTTGACTGATTACTGATATAAACAAAATATTGTGAATCTGTGTTGCACTGCTGTGCATACAGTATCCTTGTGGACACAGCTTGTAATTCTCTGATATTTCATCTTGAAATAGAAATGATTTTTCTCAGGTTTTTCAAATGTGCATTGTTCTGTGTTTTTATATTTTTTATATTAAATCTGGAGATGATTGTAGTGCAAAGCATCCCGGAAGTCATCAGAAACCAGCCAGCACAGCAGGACCTCGCTGAGAGAGCAGCTACCGCTCTCAGATGGCGAAGATGGAATAACATGATTGGCAGTGCGACTGTGCTTCAGTGTTACTCAAGAGAAATCCAACAGGGATTGAGCGATTGTTTACTGTTTCTTCATTCATAATAATTTAAGCCTTGTAACAATGACCAAGAAACATTTAAATCATGATAACACTTACTTTGTCATGAAGTCATTAAAAGTAGCTGATCCTATGAGCTCACTTGAGATCATGTTCTTGCAGAGATGTGCTTGTAAAAAAAAAAGATACTGCAGCAAATTAAGTCATGGTGTAAATAGCTCTTTAAGTTTTTTTCAAATAATCATAAAAGAAATCAATCTGCAGTAAGATAAATAAAACATCAGTGAATGTAACATTGTAAAAAAAAAAGTTATCTTGTGAGAGTTTGACTGCAATTTTGGTCGATACAATTTTTTGGAAGTAACTTAATTTTTCATATATTTATATAAGCGCCTTTGTTGGTAGATGAGGAAGTCATTTTTTTTACCAACAGTTAATTGTTAGTATGAAGTCTGATTTATTGACTATGTTAATGAAGGATAGCTTTTTAACGTAAGTACGCTTTTGTTGTACTCGTACATTTCTTTGATTATCTTTGTGTAACGCTACTTTATACTTTCACTTCATAATGTTTCAGTGAGGTATTGATCTCCACTTCTTATTGGACTTCTACATTTACTTTGCCGGTTAGTATTTTCCAAACATTTGACAGAATATCATGACATCATGACAGTGCGTCTCTCATGATAATCCATCCGAATGCATAATATACTTATTAACTATTGCTGTATTCACACATACACACAACACTACCCCTACATTTTTGGGGTGAGCTGTTATACAACAAACAAAGGCTGGCAGAATGGGGTGATGACATATTATAGGCTTTTTTTGCTGGCAGTGCCTATTTTCTAGAGCTGCTGCTTATGCCAAGACACGACACCTTAACACAATTTTCTTGGTAATATTCCCTTGAATAAAAGCTAAATTTAAGCACACTGAGCCATCTTTAAAAAAAAAAAAAAGACTCAATAGTCATTATTGAGGGATGCAGAGGTTAACTTTCATAACCTAACAATAGTGAACGGTGGTGAGAAGCGCTCTTAAACTGAGGTCATGAGCGCTGCCAGAGCAAAAAAAAAAAAAAACAGTGTTTACGGACAAAAGCAATATCCTGTAACTGCTGTGTGACCAATTCAACCTTTGCACACCTAAAGAAGCTGCTTCATACGATACAAAACGTTGCTAAAGCTGACCCATTCAGCAAGGGAAAATCTCACTGGGAGGAAATGTGTGAACATCCACTTTAGCAGATTTCAACAGGCAGCCTGTCCTGAAATTTTATATTAGTTTGAAAACAACTTATGTTATTGTTATTATTATTTATGGTTTCTTGGTCTTTAATTCTTATCATTCCTTTTGTCTTCTGGAAAGGCTTAAAATGTAACATAAAAACTATTTGAGCTGAGACTGTGAGGTCCCAGACAGACGCACTACATTCGGACAAACTGTTCTGTCAGTCAAAGGAACTAAATATTGGAGTATTCTCCCACTCACAATCATACGCATCCTTCAAAACACACCTCAAACAGTGGATAAAAGAAAAACCAATTCTGTGACCACTTTTAACCTTTAACCTCTATTATTGTCTTGTGTCACTTGTGTCACTTGTGCCTTTGTATTTGTATTTCTCTGTTACCTGCCTATAGGGACAACAGATGGAAACTAGCACTTCTGCTATAATCTGGCATTTTTACAGCTGCAATTGTTACAGCTGTTCATTAATATGCACTGTCCCTAAAAAAACATAAATAAAGTATAAAAACATTTAACAGGTGATTTGCAAAAATGTCTTCCAGATACACAACTGATGTAGAGTGGGGGGGGGGGGGGGTAAAGGTTGTCCACCCTACATGTACGCCCATGGAGGTGCTGTAGCATTAGCAGTAATCATAGTACACCTATGTTATAGTTATGTAACTCTTCCTGCTAACGTATCCTTCCTCAATATCGGGGCTTGCAGGGAAATCCACTGTTCGTTCACACAGCGTCGCCTCGGTGCAGCAGCAGGCTGAGATATTATTAAACCTTCAGCAGAGCTAGTTCAAAGTGTGGGTTAAAACTGTTGAGAAAAAAGGGCTGGGCCTCGGACAGGTTTAGCCTCATTCCAGCACGCTTGTGTGGCGGAGACTCCGCACACTTTGCTTTTCTGCTTTCCTTGTCCCTTCTCCTCCTCCTCTCCTCCTCCTCCTCCTCCTCCTCCACCTAACCGACGGATCCAGAGACCTCATTTCCCTCTTTTCGGGAGGGCGATTGACACCTCCCGCTGTCCAATCACAACGCGGGACACGTCTGCCGTCAGCCAATCGCCGTCGCACGTAGATCTTAACACCGTCAAGCACGCTGCGGTGCGTTTTCTGTTATGTGTGCCGTGGTCTCAACCCAAAGCAGTGTTGACAATAGGGTGAAAAGAAACAGCCCCGAATCATAACCGAAGCTAAGGAAACATCCAGGGTTTTTTTTTTGGGGGGTAGACAAGCAATTGATTTAGCAACAGGAATGTAATTGCGTTGACCTAATCGTTTTATACAGCTGTGTTTTGTTATTAATGGGACTTTGAGGATTATTCCGTTGGAAAGGAAAAAAAAAAAGAAGCTACTCGTGGGTTTGGCTGTTTCAGGCCGGGATTTTCCTGCTGTTCCGCCGCTGCTTTTTTTGGGACCGAGCTGGAGGTAGCCCCCTAACACTTTAGCCCGGTTTAGACCCCCCACCCCCCCCCCAAAAAAAAAAAAAAAAAAAAAACACACATAGGATAACTCTTCGCCGCCGTCTCCGTTGCGAACCGCAAAGGATCAAGGTAAAGTACTGCAATTGGAGGGCTTCACAAACAGCCACTCGGTCGGGCTCGGCTCGGGGGGGAACTCGGGACGGTGTTGTGTGTGTTTTTTTTCCCCCCCCTCTCAACAAACCCAGTCGGGTCTGTCAGTGTTTGAACGCTAGCTTTACGGTAGCAGCATTAGCACTGCCCCCCTTCTCCCCCCCCCCCACCTCCCCTGTATTTACACCTGGGATGATGGGTGATCGCCCGAGCCCGCCCAGGTAACGTTATTTTTTTTTTTTTTACAAGCACACTATGTTAACACAGGTTTTGATCATTCCACTGCTTTTTTTTTTTAATTTACAATCAGCTTTCTTTTTGTGATTCTCGCAATGAAACGCTAAAAGCTGGTGGTGGTGGTGGCGGCTAAATGAGCTAAAGGCTACATGTTTCAACTTGAGCTAACCCCCCCCTCCGCGAGTAGCCGCTTTAAAAGAAAAAAAAATACAGTTTCAACTTTACACTTGTGAGAAAACGCTGCTTTGAATGCTTGTTTTTAATGTTTAAATGTGTCGCGTACTCCGATTAGGCCACTAACTTGGCAGTAAATGTGATTAAATTGCAGACGCGTTGTAGCAGGATAATGGAGAAGCTATCGGTGCTAGCTAGGCTAACGTTAGTGAGGTTATCGCGCTGTCAAGTTTGTGAATGTTGTGCTGCTGCCAGGCCCGACATGGACAAGCTAACGCCACTGCTCCTGGCTTGATTAGATTTTTGACATACTGCAGCTAAATACTGATTTTTAACTGATGATAGTAAATGTGTAACACCAAATTGCACTTGTAAAAAGCTTATAATCTTTAGTGTTGTGTGGCTAAGGTGGTGGTTAATGACTGATCTTTCTGAAGGGAAGAGCTGATGTCAGGGAATCATTCATTTGCTTTTTAAGTACATGTTTTAATCTCTGTTCTGTAAAGAAGTCCTTAGCTTTCCTGTCAAATAGATAGAATCTTTTATTATCATTGTGTACAAGGACACAACGAAACTTTGTAAGCAGCAATCTTGCGTTCACAAAAAACAACAACAAAAATATATTTAAGATAAAGATAAGATATGCTTTATTCATCCCAGCAGCCAGCATAACATACAAACACACACAACACATATATACATACATATCCCACTCATACAAATACAGTTTGATATATGATATATATGCAACTCAGGCTAAAAGTTTAAATGTCTTCTGTTGTTACTTAAAGGGGAGTTGTTATAAAGTGCAATTGCAGTTGTTAAAAAAAAAAAGTATTTTTAAAATCTGAGAGAGAAGTATTGCAAAAAGTGGCCAGAGCAATTGCTGTTCAGTGAATTAATGATAATAATAATAAATAAATAGACAGTTGTGGTGACTGACAGAATATATACAGTTATTATTTTTGCAGTGACTGATTAATTAAACAAATATAAATATAGAGATATAGTGCAAATAAGTGAAGTTTTAGTGCACTGAATATGAAAAAAAAAAGTGTGGTGCTAATCCGATATAAACTTTGACTGGCTTTACACTAAGATACTTTATGTGGACAACTCCTATTTCTAAATATGCCACAGGTCCGTCATGTTTTCTTGATTTAACATCACGTGCATTGTGTTAACAGTCTTTCAAAAGGGAGATCATCACCAAATAATGGCAGTGCATTGACATGGATGAGAGGTAGCAAGATGGTGATGAGTGAGAGATGCTGTGAGATAAAGATGAGGGCACATTGAAGCCACTGGGCCGAGAGAAACAAGTTTCTTCTGTCAGCCCCAACTTCACTTTTTTTTTTTTTCCACCTTGCTTCTGCCCTGTCAGTCTTGTAGGAAT